TAGAGCAGCAATGACTGCAGTTATTGCAGGTAAATTCTATATCTTAAATGCCAATCATATACTGTCTCTGTATTCAATTTTCTGGTTACTCTCCCAAATGACTGCTACAAAATTTAATGCTAATTATGCCATACTTGAAAAAATTGGCACTTTGAAGTCTCTTCTCTTAGACTTTTTTTTTTTAATATATTTTCTTTGGTTTTTTTCTGTTCTTACCTGTACCACTGGTTGAATACACAAATACACATTTGCCCTTGCCTTCCCAGGTCTGTTTTCAAATTTGCAGAGGCCTCATACAGCAAATCCTTTTGGCTGGAGTGGGGCAGCTTGCCTGACTCAGACAGACAGCATGCAGCTCAAAGCAGAAAATAAATGCATGTATGTCATAAAGCTACCAGGAAAATAGAAATACTTGATTGATACCAAAATTCTTCCTTGGCCAGCCTGTAATACCGTATCAGTTTGTTACAATAACTTGCTTTCTCATAGTCTGACTTTTCCTGGGTGCAAAGTCAGTCAAAAAGAGTTCATTATGGCTTGTAATTTGCGCAGATTACATAATAAACTATTTTGCTCAAATGGTTTCAGTGCAAGATTTGCCAGAACAAATCCAGGGTGCCACAGATCACAGTGGGGTGTTATCAGAAAGCCTGCACATGACGCTGGCGGCTGACATCAGCGGTGCTAATCCCTACTGTCTCCAGCACGGACATGGCTCACAGACTTGTGGCAAGGATAAATACAAAGAGGGAGAAAATCACTGTCCTCTTATTTCAGTGTTTTATTTTTTCCTCTATATGTTGACAGGGGATGCAGAGCCACTTTTATGTACATTTACTTTGTCTTTTTTCTTTTTTTTTTCCCTTTTTTTTTCTCTTTTTTCTTTCTTTTTTTTTTTTTTTACTTTGTCTTTTTTATTTTATCTTTTTTTCAGGGCCAGAGTGCACTTACATCTCTCTATTTATCTACAAGGCCTACAGCACAGCAGATAGATGGGTGTCTCATTAATGAATTTATCTTTTCAGCACCGCTGCAAGGCAGGGAAGTGCTATTACCATCTCAGCCACTTCTACCTCTGGTTTAGAGATAAGGAAGGGAGGTACAGAAAGAGTAAGCGGTTTGCCCAAGGTCAGGCAGCGGCCAGGGAAACTGAGGCACGGCGTGTGCCTGGCCAGGGGCCGTCGAGTGGCCACACACCCGATGGAGAAGCACTGACATGTTTGGGCCAGTTACACTGGTAAAGGCAGAAGTGAGTGGATGCAACGGCTCCTTTTGAGCAACAAAATGTCTTCTACTGAAAACTGTTAGCATATTTTTTTCAGTTTATTCAGCCGTGGGTACAAATGTTCCTTGAGACACAGGTCTTTGCAGGAGACCGCATCACCTCAGGGCAATTGAAGGTCATTTTCCAGCAACCGAATGTCAGTAAGTGGTGGCAGCAGCCCTTTGCAGCTGGTGAAAGCAGCACTGGGAATGCTTCCCATGGCATTGGCGAGGCCAATTGTATGAAATTCATCAAGGCCAAGTGCCAGTCCTACACTTAGGTCACAACAACCCAACGCAGCTTGGGGAAGAATGGCTGGAAAGCTGCCAGGGCAGAATGACCTGGGGGTGTTGGTTGACAGCCGGCTGCCTATGAGCCGGCAGTGTGCCCAGGTGGCCAAGAAGGCCAACAGCATCCTGGCCTGTATCAGGAATAGTGTGATGAGCAGGACCAGGGAAGTGATTCCCCACCCTGTACTCGGCACTGGTGAGGCCCCACCTCGAGTACTGTGCTCAGTTTTGGGCCCCTCACCACAAGAAGGACATTGAGGTGTTGGAGCGTGTCCAGAGAAGGGCAACAAAGCTGGTGAGGGGTCTGGAGGACATGTCGTCTGAGGAGCGGCTGAGGGAACTGGGGTAGTTTAGTCTGGAGAAAGGGGAGACCTTACTGCTCTCTACAGCTACCTGAAAGGAGGTTGGAGAGAGGTGGGGGTCAGTCTCTTCTCCCTCTTCTCCCATGTAACAAGTGATAGGACAAGAGGAAATAGCCTCAAATTACACCAGGGGAGATTGAGATTGGATACGAGGAAAAAATTCTTCACAGAAAAGCTTATCAAGCATTGGAACGGGCTGCCCGGGGAAGTGATTGAGTCACCATCCCTGGAGGCATTTAAAAGATGGGTAGACATGGTGCTGAGGAACATGGTTTAGTGGTGGGTTTTGGCAGTGCTAGGTTAATGGTTGGACTTGACGATCTTCAAGGTCCCTTCCAGCCTAAAAAATTCTATGATTCATGAGCGGTGCCAGCATCCCTCCTCCTCCTCCTCCTCCTCGGGCAGCGAGCCCTGGTGCCAGCTGTGGGGTCAGCTCTGCAGAGGAGCGTCCCGGGAAGGATGGACAGGTTGAGCTGTGTCTCCTTACCAAAACATTTTCCTTCAAGGTTTTCTGCGAGCTTGCACACACTCAGTTGAGATCCAGCATTCATTCATCTCTTCTGCTCCACACCCCCACTACTTTAATTCTTCCCAGCTTGTGGGGTGCAAAACACCTGGGAGGTATACTCACAAATATCTGCATTTTAATGTAATTTGAAACATAATGATTCAGTCCAGTCATCTTTACTCACACACGCAGAGGCACTGAAGTCAGCAGTTAGTTGGAGTAAGAGGAAATTCAAGGTGCAAGTATCTCATCGAGAAGATGAGTACGAAGGAAAGACCGCTCAGCTCCAGTTGCAGTCCTTCTCTCTGCACGCATCCTTCTTTCTCTGCATACACTACTGCTTCTATGGGGGATGTTTGCTCCACTCTTCTCTGTCCTTACAAGTGCATGCTCATAAACATGCTTTGGAAACATGTTACTTCACGTCAGATCTCGCTCTCTAGGTCAGAAGTCCACTAGGATACAAGAAATTCCCAAATCTGCATTTTGCCCAGCACAGAAAGCACCGGTGTCCCTTAGAGTTGTAAATAAATAAACAGAACAAATCCCTTAAAAAGTTACACACAACATGGCTTTTAAATAAAGGAAGGGATTCATCTAAAATTCCACGTAAAAGCATTTTCATGCTGCTCTCTTCTCCTTCGCCAGCACGTGGCCAGCATGCTCTTCCTCCCCGGGGACCCGCTGTGCTGGGTGAGCTCCAGCGCCTTCCGCAAGGACAGCGGGGACCTGGGCACCCAAACAGGAGGTCAGGGTCAGCCCCTCTGCTCGGCCACCACCGCATTTCTGGGGGGAAAAAAAGCCTTCAGGCAATTTTAATGGTGTCTCTCTGGAATCTTTGTTTTTAGAAGCCTGACAATAACTAGCTCCAAATGGAAATCAGACTGTGTCATGCCATGCACTTTATATTTTTTTCAAATATTCTTCTTTTCCTGGGTGTGCAGCCCCCGCTCTCCCGTCCCTGCTTTCTGGCTTGTATAGCTCCCAGGTACAATTCAGACTACAGGAGGGCACTGGCGCGTGACTTCATAAATTTATCCTTTGACTTTCACCGTTTCCCCTGCTGTCACAAACAACTTTTGATCTCAGAAAGCAAAGCAGCAGACCCAGGCCAATGGGAAAAAAATGTTGGGGTATTTTTTATTCAGCATGATATATAGCCAAATGTATACAGCACCAGGAGGAAGCGTGTCCCCGGAGTGGGACTATTAGAGGTAGTTCACTATTGCTGGCTGAAGAAATGCAAAGCAACAGTGGCAGTCACGCTCTGTGGAATATGACTGATATCTGAGAATAAATTATTGTCAGGATTTGGTAATAATTTTCAGACTTTAGCTCAAATATCTGTATGCATTGCATATTGGCAAATGATAGGTAACATTGCAAAATAACAAGTTACCATTGTAATTGGCTGTGTATATTTTATTAGGCTCCGATTATACCTAATCTCCTCACCGAGGTACTGAAATTAAAGACAGCTTTGGATAATCATGTCCCTTTAGTTAGTGGAAAGAGCCTGTCAGGTACAGACAGGAACTCAGATCTGAGATGCCTGAGCATCCATCTGTAAGTTGGGAAAGGTAAATCTGGTGCATGCCCTCCCAGCCATGACTCAAAATGCCATAGTTTAAATCATTTTAGGACCAAACTTTTCTGCTTTGGGATGTCCTATGTTCAGAGGATTCAGGGCTGTAGTGGAAGCTGAAATCTGAAGGTCAAAAACCCCAGAAAATTTGATGAAATCAAAGAATTATGGAATCATAGAATCATCTAGATTGGAAGGGACCTTTAATATCATTGAGTCCAACCATTAATCTAACACTGCCAAAGCCACCACTAAACCACGTCCCTCAGCACCACATTTACCCATCTTTTAAATACCTCCAGGGATGGTGATTCCACCACTTCCCTGGGCAGCCTGTTCCAATGCTAGACAACCCTTTCAGTGAAGAAAAATTTCCTAATAGAATCATAGAAACTATGTATATCAGGTATACCCTGTACACATTTCATATATGTATGTTTTTCCCTTCAAGAATGAGGGAGAGGCTCAGGCCCCAAAGAAGCGTCCAGAAAATGCTGGAGGCGTAAGGTAGAAGCTGTCAGGACAATGACAGCTGAAGCTGTAGCTGTTTTGGAGGAAGGCGCTGGTGTGTGATGCTCTGAGCATAGCAATGTCCTGCTTTGGGATGGTTCTAACATCCTCTTGCCCTTCGTGCTCTAACAGCCTTTGGTTTCTTCTGCCACGGATGAAGTGTGGATGGGAATGGCCAGCTGATGTGGCCCAAAGTGTGCTTCCCAGAGAAGGGATCTAGCCTGTTTACATGCTTTTATCTTTTTCATTGATACCAGCCAAAAAGAGAGGGAAATACTTTGGAATCCAGTTATTGTGTCCTTTGAGAATTTTACCTGTGTAAGGCCACCTCTCTAAACTGAGCAAGACATTTTCATTCCCACCAATACAGCTTTTTCACTGACCCTCCAAGTTCACCACACTCAAATTCTTGGGTTTTAGTGATTCTCCACAGAGTCCTACCATATTTGCTGTAAGTGGTCTCTTTTCTGTGCATCCTCAGATGAATAAATGCGGGACCCAAGCTCCGGTGTGGCTGTCGCTGAAGTCTGAATCCCTGCCGGTTCCCGGTGAGAGCAAGCGGCTCACGGCCTGTGCTACCTGGCAGGTCTTCTTTGGGGGCACCAAGGACTGCTGCTTGTTTCGGATACCCATTGCCGTCAGGAACTGCGGCGAATTCTTTGTGTATCTCCTGCAGCCTACTCAAGGATGCATGGGCTACTGCGCGGAAGGTGAGGATCAGTAAAGTATTTGTCAATGAGATTGCGTATGCCTCTCTGGTTGTGTGTTCAAAGGTCCTGGTATTGCAATGCACATCTTGGTGACCTTGTGAGTCAAGCATTGCTCCCAGTGAGATGCAGACCGTGTAGAAAATAAATCAGCGGCAGTCCAAGGTGTTCCTGAGGAATAGCTATTATTACCAGTGCAAAATGTAATCTGGTGTGTATTACTGAAGTGTTCTTTGCTTGGTTACAGTTCAGATGTAACCTTTCCTACTGTCTTTGGCTCCACTTTGGCTTGAAGTTTGCACAGCTAGCGAGCAGAGGCGTCTCGGTTTTATTGAGGCACTGTATCCAGGATACTGTATCTAAGGTCTGTTCTTATCTTCAATAATCCAGTATCTCCCCCCCAAGATAATTCTGAAAATCTGGAAGGAAAAAACCCAAAACTGATAACATCTTTTTCATGACATTTATATAATTACTCTCGTCAGAAATAATTTTCAGCCTACTACGAGAGATCTAACCTCTGTTCGGTAGCTAGGAAACAAAGGAATAACAGAAAGCAATTGCTCACTCAGTTAAACCTTCTGAACTTCGGAGCATGTTCAGGTGCATATAGATTTAGTCAGAAAAGACAGTCCTTTCTCAAAAGGAAAAAAAAAAACCTTTATACTTTCCTTTCAGCATTTTTGACAGAGACGTGACACACTGAGAAACTAGGGTTAGCACCTTTCAATCAGGCAAAATTCAAGTTTAACTAAATTTTATAGAGAGAGATTTCTATTTTCTTATCTTGATCAATATTTTAGCATTCCCACATGAAGAAGAGGCAGCAAAAAAAGGCTCAAAGAGGGTGAGATTAATTCACTATTTGAAATAAAAAAAAAAAGTATTAAAATAAATGAAACTGCTCTTTAATTTCCACAATTCTTTCTCACAAATGACTTTTTTTAACTGAACACAGTTGTTTTCTAGTTTAAGCTTGTCTTTTTTAAAACTATAGATTTCCACTACCCTTGTGTGAAAAGGTTTTCACCAATACCCATTGGGTGATTAGTTTTGTCCTGTCTGTTGATCCATACTTCTTTAGTAATGTAAATCTGCCTGCATTTTTCGTAAAAGAAGGTTTATCTCTTCCCATTTATCCCAAGCCAATGACTTTCTGCCTTTTTCTTACCACTGGTGTTGAAGCTTTCGCCTCTTTCCTAGGCATTTCAGCCAGGTCCAGCTCTCCCAAGTCTTTAACTTCTTGTCTTTAGGAGGTTTTTGCAGTATCATGTATTGGATGGAAAACACCCAAAGCTGAAGGTTTTCACTGGGGGTTGTTAACTCACCTTCTGAAATTCAGCTGTGAACATTGCATCACAGGAGCCTCTGCGCAGCCCCAGAGATGGGTCCATCTGGCACCGTCACGGCTTCTTGCTGTGGTTGATTCCTCAGCCCCATCCTCTAGAGGCTTGGGAACAGGACACCAGTCAGCACTTCTTAGCTGCAAAAGAAAATGAATTTAAAGCTTCATAGCTTGGCAGAAAGGACACGGCTGGGAAAAGAGTCGTGTGTGCTTGCGATTCTGCTCACATCCTCCCGTGAGCTGCTCACCTAACTTTGTCCTTCTGGAATAACTCCCTGCAGAAAGTCATGATGTAAGCCACAGTTTGAGGCAGCTTCCCTTAGAAACAAAAGAGAAAAGGATATAAAGAACTGGCCCTTGTTCATATTTTACGCAACTTGTTTCTTTTTCATAACTCTTTATTTGCCCGGGACAGCTGTTAACATACTGGTTCTTCATTATGCTGTAACAGCCTCATACCTTATTCTCTTGGGTTCCATAATATTTTCTACACTCCTCCAAAGAAGTTACTTAATTTATCCTTTCAAAGCACCTAAACCAGTTTCATGTTGCATTTGAGTTCAGGTCTCCGGAGATGAAAGAACGTCACCCTACAGTATTATACATCTTTTTGTTTCTACTTTCTAGGTGAGTTTAACAGGAAGAAAACTTTCGGACTTCATTACCTGTTGAAGCCTATAGAAAGCAGGCTGTATTTTTAGAACAGTGGCATTATTCTGGGCAGAGGGAGACTATATTGAGCAGATTCAGCCTAGGTATGTCCCAGAACAGCCTGGAAAGGATTTTCACAGCATGGCAATATGGGCTGGGTGCTCCCTGAGAGTCAGTTTACCTCTGCAAAATAATTATTTCTCATATCTCTTCTGCACTTATTGCAAAACTTGGATCAAAAGGCTGTGCTTCAGGGAAATGCAAAGCTGATGGCCTTTGCCAGAGTAATTAATTTGTAGTAATCTGAGTGCTTCATTTCAATAACATTCCTTTTACTGCAAAATCAAGAAAAAAAAAAAACATAAAAAATAGGTCAAATATTACAACAACAATAGGTAGTCAGTACACAACTAGCAACTTTTGCATTTCATATGAAATACATTCTCTTACTTACATAGTTAATAATCAAATCACAAGAACATGAAATGTAGTGTAATGTTGAAATCTTCTTGTTGAGTGAACAATCGTAATACCAAAAGAACATTTTGTGCTATATCCTTCTTTTGTTTCACTCTTCCAGACAAACTCACAAGCCTGGCTCTGCAACCAGCGATAACTCCCGAGCTTGTGCACGGTCGTGTCCACCTGAAGTGCTCTTACCACCGCCCCTCCTCAAAGCCACCGCTGCAATACCTGGTGGTCTGGTCACGCCTGTCCACCCCTGGCAAGAAAGAGCAGATTCAGCGTGACACCACCCTGCAGTCTTTTTCCTACATCGAGATGAACGGCGTAAATCTCAGATTGGGAGACACGGTAATGCCACCCCGCCTTCAGCAGAAACAAAGGTCAAACACTCAAGGGGATCAAATCCTTTTCTTAAATCTTTGTTGTGTTTTTATTAGTGCTGCTCCTCACTTATTATACTTACAACTACTGCAGAAAAAAAAAACAAAAAAAACAAAAAACACCAAAACTGAAATTGCTTTGCAACAAGATTATTAAACAGCATAAACAGCATTTACCAGATTCAGGATCTGTAATATTTCTTTGAATTGCAGTGAGTTCAGGGAAGCTATCCATTTTGCTATTTTCTAAAGGCAACTTGAGTCTTTGCACTTACTTTACAGCTTGAATGCCATGAAGCTGGTATGAGTGGTAGGTACATGCACCTGAGCCAATTTTCACCTAGTACTTTTTGTATCTTGCAGCAGCGAGAATTTGCCATAGAGGCAGGCTCAGCTATACGCACTCAGTAATTTTTATACTCATGGAGCAGAGCCACAATAACATCTTTTCAAAGAAAAGAAGGACGGTACATTTTAAAATAGAGGGAGGTTTATTTTATGGTCTTTTTCATGGTGTTCTGCCTCTCTGATTCCAAATTCTTGGTTCAATAGCATACTGAAAGATAGAGTTCATTACAAAACAATCTTTAAGAAGTATATTTGATGGCTTACATAGCAACACAGATCTAGTTTCAACAACAACAACAAAACAGAATCCAATACAAGATGTGAAAAAAAAATGAGTTGTGTATGAATTCATGGCCTTTCATGGTCTAGAAACAAGACTTTTAAAGTTAAATTAGGTTCATAACTTTTATAGGCAGAGAGCCATTAGTGATGCTACAATGAACTGAAAGAATAAACAGGGATAATGTCCTTGTGTTAAAAGTAGGTTGGAAATAGTCTTGGCATTTTGCAGCTCTTCTTTGAGATATTTAAGAAATGTGAATAAGCTTTTTCCAGTTCTTGAAAGGATGAGTCATTTATAACAGTAGCACAATCTAGATATTTTTTACTCATTTCTCCTCGTATTTTGCTTCCTGAGTTCAGAATCTGACTGATGCTGCCCTCACTTATATTATAACATGAGGCAGACAATTCTGCCAGTTTAAGACAAGTTTGTGTTACGAGGAGATATTTTCATCAAAATAATTTCGCTTGCAATCACTTCAAACCTAGTTTTAACAATCCTGAGGGATTCAGAGAAAATATAGTTCTGTTAACTAGTAGCATCACCAAATCTTTATAAGACCATTTTTATTATATTAAGTTTTCAGTAAGCCCTTCTTTGTCCTCTGCTGAAACTACATGTTTAATTTAGTGGGTTTAGTGAGGCTAAAATGTTCTCTTCCTTGCTAGATTTCTTTAAAGGTCTTCATGGCCTATTTGACTAATTATAATTATCCATAAATCATCACTGGTGAAAACTAAGCAATGAAGCCTCAGCTGTAACTGGGAATTGGGTTTTACATAATGAAGATTAAAAAAAGCAGTTCACCGTGTTTGCCATCCCACTCTGGGTGTCTAAGAGTCCCAAAGCGGCAGACTCCCCTTTCACTCCAGTGGTGGAAACCTGAAGCAACTTAGTAAGCATCGGTAGGGCCACTGCAAAGGAAAGGTGATGCCACTACAGGCAGAGTCAGACCCCGGGTACCAAACTCCACCACACAGAGGTAGTTTGTCACCTTCTCCCAGCCCATTAAAGATGCAGGTGGAAGGGTTTTTCTCAGGCAGCTTTAAAGGAAAGCCAGATCCTCCCTGATAACAGCCATATTAGAGAGGAGACAATGAACCTGGGGTGCTTTGCAGTTCTCTTTCCCCTTCTCTGAGCACAGCCCAGTGGTAGCATCCCCATAGCTGCGGACTGCCAGGGTGCATGGCGGGTGTTCAGAGCAGATTTTGTCCCCCAGGGATGCAGAATTTACAGCACTTTGAAACCTGGTTGCTTTTGTTTGACCTACCCTTCGTCTGCGTGCACTTAGCCTGAATTTGGCCTCAATGCTTTTACAGTCTGAAATCAGCATACTCTCTATTCATTCCTAGATAAAAAACTACAGCCAAGCAAAAATATTTTTTTTTAATCACATCTTAGGTGATTGATATCTATGCTATTTTTTATCTGTCAGAAAGTCTCCAGGTAATAGGTTAGTCACATAATAGAATATCTATTGATATATTTTAATACGCAGTCAAACCTTAGAGAAGAGTTTAGATTTATCGGCCAACATTTCTGAACTTGTATTGACTAAACAGCCAGTTATTTTTTAATAGCCATCATGTGTTCTGTTCTCCCTCATCTTTGGGCTCCAGTTTTGTTATTTCAGACAGTAATGTTGGCAGCATAATGTTTGCAAAGTATTGCAGCCTTAAATAAATCTATAACATGCCTCTATTTCTATATAAACGCTGAAAGAAGCCTACTTCATCTTATATGAAAATTCTGGCATTCCTAAGCCTTATTTATGCGATAGTGACAGAGGTCATTTCATTCCTCGAGGCACAGCCATCTATAAATTATAGCAGCACACTGTGAGTAATGAGTTATGCTAAGAAAGAAAGGTATTTAGAAGAAAACTGTGCAGATTTTGCTCAGCACAGCAATCCAAAAGTTCATACAGCGAGGAGCAATTGTCACCATACATAAACTATGATGTGCATTGTAAAATAAAAAAGTTTAAGTAAAATCAGCCTTTCCAAGCTCTGTGCTAGAAGCGCCTGTTTCACGTGGCACTCCGCGACAGCAGAAGAATATGCAAAAGACTGCAAATTAGTGCTTCAGTATAGAAAATAACTAATTTTCACTCACAAGGGAAGAGAAATGAACTTTCCCCCTGCTTAAATACTTATTCCATCCCAGCCACTGGACTTGACAAAATCAATCAGAGAACAGGAAGACCTGCCTATTTGTAGGTCACACCTGAGTTTACAGTTTCTTTCTCAACCTTCAGGTAGAAAATTAGGAGCACCCCTGCAGAAACAGAGCTCTGTGTGGTCTTGTACAGAGATTTTAAAGCAGAGAGGGTCAGAGAAATGATGAGCAAAACTCTGCAGCTGATAAGACACCTCGCCACTACCCTGAGAAAATGTCTTTCCTTAGTAGATGAATGACCTACAGTCAGCCTCCACATACTGTTTGGTCACTTGGCAACTGGAAGGAGCTGCCTTCTGTATATATAGCGAGTAGCAGAGCGACCGGAGATGGTCTTCCCGCAGTGTCAAGTCACGCTGCTGCACCACTCCCTCCCTTCTGCAGCCAACAGCCCATCACAGGGAGCGATTTGTGTTCAAAAGCTTTGAGGTCGAGTTTGTTAATTAATTCAAAGTCCGATTCTCCCTACTTCCCCCTTCCCACTAACCCTTCTGGAAAGCTTTTCCAGAGACTTTGTTCCTGTCCCTCTCTGCACATACCTACAGCCAGATCATTTCCTCGAGAGAATGAGAACTATTTTTTTTTTTTTTTTCCCTCTGGCTTCCCTAGAAATGCCATCCTCCAGCTCTGCTCATCCTTTGCTCTTTTCATCAAGGCTGTAAACCACAGCTCCATCCCTCCCTCCCTCCCACACTCCCCAGCTCCCAGCAGAGCGACTCCTCGAGGCTTTTCTAACCCCAGCCCATTAGCGTTTAATAGAGCAGGCAACAGCAGCTCGGAGGCTTTGATAGCCATCGCGAGACACCCTTTTCCCTGGCATGATCGATTCCCTGCCCAGCCCTTCACCTGCAAGGCGTGAGGGTGGTTGAGTGACTCTTCCCCTTGCAGCCCCAGCCTGCCTTTTGACATGGGCGATGTAGCTAGGAGGGTAGGTCCAATCCTGGAGTTAATAGACTTAATCACTCACAGCTTAGGCATCTGCACTTACGAGCAGTATTCCGACTTCCCTGCCCAGTGAATGAGAAGAAGCGGGTATTCCTAAACACTACCTGATGTTGAGAAGGGAGCTTCCCCCAGGTGGCCAACCTAAATTACTGACCAGAGCAGCATCCTTGAATTCCCACACCACTCAGGAGATTGGACGTTCAGGTCAAGAAAGTGCCTCCCATCTACTTTTTAATCCAAGTCCTACTCAGCTGTACCTGGCAGTATGGAGTCTTTGGAAGATCACTACCAGTAAAAGCAAATATTTCAACTCTAAGTCTTCACTGTTGTCACTGTGGGGCCTCTGGCACTAAAATACAGCTCAAGCTCTTGCTGGAGAGATGGGAAACAGGTAGCTGATCCTCCCGGCTGAGTCTGGTGAATGTCCTGCCCTTCCCAAGGGCATCCCACCCCAGAGCATAGGTTGCACTAGGAGAGGAAGTGGAGACTGAAGCCAGGGACCGGCACGTGCATTTGTTTCTTTTCTCTGGTGACTGTTTAGCTAAAACACAGCCACAGTCCTCATGGGCAGACCCAAAGCCCGTACTCCCATCTGCCAGCTCTCCCTATTTTGAGGACAAGCCCATTGCCCTGGGACACTGTTGAGAAGGCTGAGGGCACCATTTCTGCCAGGGCTTTGAGAAACACATGGTTTAGGTTGGCCTTTCTGAGAGGTTCTGAAATTACCTGGCAAACCGAGGAGCCTTCACAGGTACCTGACCTAAGAGAAGGGATGGATTTTGATCACAAAACAAGTATCTCCTGTTTTGACTTTGGGAACCCAACCCTTTATCTGAGCACAGCTGGGAGGGGCTGATGAAACTGGAGGCATGGCCATGATGGACGTGCCAGCAAGCATCCCCCTCCGTGCCCCCACCTCTGCGCATGCCGCCTTTGAAGATGGCAACAAACGTGAATGTGACTTTCTTTGAGCTTTTCTGTCTCTGCCCTTGGCCCCACGACTCTCACTACACACTCAAGCTGCCACAGATGATCCCTGCCCTACATTCAGAGATAATTAGGGGCAGAGAAAAGGGTGAAACTGGTTTTATGTTTGAAACGAGTATAAACAGCTGATTTGGGGGAGATTTAGATTCTGAGAGCTCAGGAAAAAACCCCACATTTTTATATGCATGTTGCTAGAGGGAAATTTGCCCAGAATGTTGACAGGTCCTGGGATTAAAATACTCTCCTGACTGTTTCCCAGAGCTAACTGACCCCCACCAAATTAATCACTGCATTCTGCTTTTAACTAAATACTCTGCTCACAGTGTTCACAGCAAAGTGGGAAAGAATCTGATTGATTCCACTTAAGGGTGGAAATCTGCTCCAACACACAGGAAAGGAGAAACTTTTTAGCTACCAGGGCCTTTTTCTGTCGGGATTTTGTGCCTAAAAGTTTTCCACCCTGTGGGGAGATCTGCTGCTGTATGGGGGAAAGGGAGCAGCCCATGCCCAGGAGCAATCTGGTCATCCTGTCCGAGGGCACCCTTTTATTTCTGTTTCTTTAAAAGGGATGATGAAAAATTATGATTTTATTTTTAACAGATCTGATGAGTTTGTAGAAAAATACTGCCTAACCTGTCACGGCCATCAGCATACTGCTGTCAGTGATGCTTTTATCTCTTTGCTTTAAAAAGGCTGCATCCTGAGATGGGGAGAGGGGAGAGAAGAAGAGAAAGAAAAAGTTGATTACTGAACTGGAGAAAAAGAGCTAGTATTTAGCTGAAGGCAAAAAAAACTCCTCGGAGTGACTATCATAATAATTATGTGACAAACTGTCAACCTGTAGCTCAGTAGCCGATGAACATATCTGCTGATTGTGAAGTGAAGTGTGCACCTAACAAGGTAAAGGCACTACAAGGGGAGGAATGATATAAAAGACAGAAATAAAATGTAACTCATGACGGCTGTCCGTACATTTCGAATTTGCAAAGTTTGTGCTCATCTCTAGAAGCACTGAAGATAGAACTGGAATGGACAGGTAGTCTAAGAATATCTCAGTGTATCATTACAGAGTAATCTTTGATTTTAGAGTTCAGTGCTTTATCAATAAAATATACTGCTAAAATATATATGTGAGAAAATACAATGCTCGCAGGGAATGAGGCTGGGTTCTGACATTTCCCAGGATGTCACTTTGGGGAAGATCACTGGGATGCTCCGTCAGCGCCGGGCATCCTCATGCACAACCCTGCTGTCTCTCATTACAGTCCCCTCCTTGGCAGGAACACTCCACATGGTGTGCTCAGAGAGATGTCTCCCTGCGAATATATTTGGTAAAAACATCAAAGCCAAAAGTGCAAATAACGAGGCAAGTGTAAATATAGTATCTGCAGTGCGGGTGCATTGGATTTGCTCAATGAGGTCTGCCAAGGAGATTGTTGGTTTGGTTTTTTTTTTTACACTAGGGGGAATATATGTTACCTGAACTCTGTCTCTGTTGTCACCGCCTTGTCGGATCCCGATTTTGCAGACTGTCCCGGTGGCAGCTATAGGAGAAGCAGCTGTAGGAGAAGATCAACGCTCGCCTTCTGCCTTCCCACCCAGCAGAACTTTTTTTGAAAACTTTGGAAGCTGAACGCGAGCCTTTAGGGAATTCTTGGAGATAATAAATATCTAATGATAACAGGGGCTTATTACCTGGAGGAGACGACGACTTCTCCTTTGGAGGCAAACTGGCTAACTGTGAAGTATCTGAGGAGTTTTAACTGTAAAGTATCTCTGTGAAACCTGTGTCATTTTTTCCCCCCCAGTACACCCAGTACGACCTCAAGGCTTCCATCTAGTTAACGGAACAAATAACACTACTTTCACTGGGTGGGAAACTTTATGAAGGTAAAAATGTCCCAAAAGGCACATAAACCTGGGACTGAGCTGGACTGGAAATGATCCACCTGAAGAGCACAGAAAACACTTGATTTTTCCCGTAGCTGTACAAATGTTGTTGTATTGCTGGTGGGGCATTTTTGTTGTGCTCAAATGAGTTAGGAAAGAGGATTCTTCAGTTTGGAGGAAACTCATGACTTGATGGTAATGAAGAGAGACCTTTAGGGTGGTAAAAGAAATATTCCAGAGGGCTATCCAACTCATGCCCATATGACCATACGAATCTGGGAATATCTTGGTTTTGAGCTTGTTTCATTGCCACTGGTGATGAGAGTTGCGCCTGAGCCGGCAGGTGAGAGCTATGGACAGCATCATGGCTGGTGAGTGGTGCTGGAAATTCCATCCAAAGGAGTTTATCACAATGGAAAATAAATTAGATTGGTCCTATTTCTCCTCATGGGTTACTTGAGGCTTAAAAAAGGCAGTAGCTATAAATATGCCATCTGACTATTTGGAATTGATTTAGTGTGTCACAATCTGTTACTCCATTTCTGAGAAGAGGCCAAAAACAAAAATTCAGAAGTACAGTTTCAGAGCCTATTGTCGTTTGCTTTAAGGAAAATTTCTGTAGTTTAATCTTATGATCCCAGAAATGATGTTAGCAGTTTGGGTTTTCTGAAACCAATGAAACATTAAGATGGCAGATGGTGTGCAGGCTCAGAAGATATAAAGGTTACGTGACTGTGCTAGGAATAAAACATAAATGGCCTGGTATGTTGTCTTTGGTGGCAGGGTTTGGGTTTTTTTTTGTTTTGGAGGAATTTTTATTTTATTTTATATTTTACAATGTAAACCCTGTAGGCACATCTGCAACATCTTTTATAATGCAATAAGGAATAAAAAGAGCTTCCTATATTGCTGACACAGATTCCAAGACTGTATGACTGTCAAACTAATTAAAATGAAAAAAAAAACTGCTTACAAACATGGTACAGAGAGAGGATAGTTGATCCAGTGGACAGACTGAAGTCTGGGATCCCAAGGGCTAATGTCCTAATCCTGACAGTAACAACTATGAACAATGTAATTCTCCCTAATTAAAATGAGTTAATACCACTAACCAAAGTGTTTGAAAAACTGCAGAAGAAAACACACCGTAAGCATTCAATGTTATTAATTGCTGAGACAGAAGCCATGTTTCTTTGCTTATTAAATGCATCAAAACTTCTTCCAAATCTCAAGATTTATGCAAAATATTTTTAAAACCTCAACCGCAATATTAGTTTCAACAGTAGAAAAAAAAGGCTTAACAACTCTGATCAAGAGGAAGATGCATAATTATATGAATTTTCTTCAAGAAAAGCTATAGCATATGCTGTTTATTTATTACAGGTCTTTTGCACTGTCACGGCTTTTACGAGGGATGTTCCTGAGCAGCAGTCGTTGCCTGAAGAGAGCAAAGGTTTCTATGCCGGGATTAAGGTAATGCCAATGGCCCTGATTTACAGACTTGGCACATCCCTAGGGAATATTTATACATTATCTGACATGCTCTGAAAAACAAGTCACGGAAACATAAGCCTTGATCATCATAACCAGTGCTGCTTTTATGTTCACTTTGAGAAAATGTCTTAATAAATTATACGGCTTTCAGTCTGCTTGTAAAACGTCCTAAAGTGCCCATCAGCACCCTGTGCAGGTGTTGACACTAATGCGCCATAAAGAATGTGCAAAACTACATCTTCCAGTAAATACACCCCAAAGTACTCTGGTGGTTATGTATAATGGGACGACACACCTACAAGACTGCAGAATTTCATTGTACTTAAACCAGAAGAAAGCAAAGAGAAAAACTAGTTTTTACCCATCATCTTTTTATGGTCAAACACTGCAAAAACCAAATTGCTGAAGATAAATTCACTCCGAGTGCAAAAACCAGGTCTAATCCCACTCAAGGATTAGACTGTTGGTCTTGCCGTCCAGGAGAATTTGAGATCTCGGTATCTAAACTTCATGCCTCCATGAATTGTGTTTGAAAAATCTGGTAACCTGTTCTGTGTGACATTTGAAGAACAGTTTTGGGTTTTTTTCTGGAAAAGTCAGAATTTCCCAGGCAATGGAAATTCCCATTTCTGACTAGCCCTGAGCGCTCTTTCTGCTCTTGCCCCAGGAGAACAGACAGACAGAAATGGCACAACCCGAGCTCTCTCCCCGGCACACAAGCCACCGAAGTTGTAATATATTATGTACAGAGATATCCTTCTTCCTGCCATAGCAGGGAAGAGGAATTGGGCAAAAATTGCACTCACTTTGTACCTGGGGCAGAATACAAGCATAGAGTCCGTGACTGTGAGGTAATGCCATACTTCAGGCCATGAATATTGCTGGTATTCCTCCTAGTGCATGGGAAGAGGACCCCCTTTTAACCAGGGATATTAAAAATTAATATATTCTATGGTATCACGCTATTTTCAGGCTTAATAAAAACCTGTTTTGAGATTAGGAGATGAGAAGCAATTAGACACTATATCTGACATCTGCAAACATTTTCTTAATTACCGAGAATGTTAAAGTATTTTAACAACAATTTCACCTTATAAAGTTGAAGATCATTACTATGAAGATTATTATAATTATGAGGATTATTATGAAGATTATTATTATTTTATAAGCAATCATATCTTTTCATAATTGATTAAAAACACTCAAGATTTTACAAATATCAGCATTGCCTAACTAATCTGTCAAAATGATCTTCTTCTTTCCAGTTTTTACCAGAATCGTTACAAATTGTAGAGGATAGCAAAGAGCATGTTTTGACCATTCTGAGCACTGTACCCATTGCTTGTCCCGGGCAAGATGATTCCTGTAAAATTACTTTACAGCTAAGTACTGAGGATTTGGGTAAGAGTTTTACCTATGGGCTTCGAATTGATGTGATTATTTTTTCCTGTATTTATGTTATGAGGAATTCCAACAGAAATTATAAGACTTAAATAACAACAAAGGGCAGAAGTCATAAAATCAACAAACTAGGCCATATATTTGTTTACAATATAAAATAGATGATAATATCACTCAGGCTTTTGAGAAAGAATAAAAAAAAATCTGACTAGCAATAACCTGAATTGTGATCCTTTGAGATTTATGGATGAAATAACTATGAGTAGAACTTATTTTAAATTCCAGGAGTATAAAATTCCATTTTAAGTTTTTGCAGCAGCAATGGTCTTAGGTAGAATAATTTCATTAATTATCAATAAGAAGCTCACCTGCAGATTTATTATTCAGTAAATGTGTACTGAAGCCTTTTTTTTTTTTTCTTTTGCTGGCTTACAGTTTTTTTCTGCCTCAATATAGAGGAAAAAATCATTCTTATGCATATATATTATTCTCTTTCTAAAGGTATTTTTTTTACTTGAAAACATTCCCAGGGTCACGTAGAAAATTCTTGCCCTTTTTATCAGTAAATGTTTTCCTCAGGTTAATCTGGTGGAATACCACACTTAACCAAGGGGGGCATATATATATTTACTTTCCATTTGCACTAAATAAAACACCCAACCCTTTTTCTAAAAGGTATTTATTTCTCTTCCATAGGTGACTCAATGAGAAAAATGATTAGACATAGGATTACAGCCACAGTTTCTCTACCCACAAAAAGACAGCTCAAAGAAAAAAAAAATGTCAAAACCCGGAGAGTTCCTGATATTTTTCGCTTTCTAAATCCCTTTCCTTTCTCTCCCCATCATCAGCCAAGTGCTTAGGCAGAAGGAAAAAATCATTCAAATGGTATCATAACACAATGATCTTAAACTGAAAGGCACCTTATGGTTCCAGCAGCTGTGTTGGCTCTTGTACATGGAGTGCTTTGCATTTCTCCATGGCTCAGTGCTGCTCTGTTCTACATATTGTTCTTGGCTTAGAATCTCTGCTGGTCCATCAGGCAAACATCCACTGAGCTCATGGGAATAGATTTTCTTAGATATTGAGGTAGCTAAGAATGCAGGCTGGTGTGTGGTGGGACATCTCACAGCCTCCAAGCAGCTTAGACACCTACCGTTTATGAGGATTGAATGAGAATTAGTCACATAAGCTATCAAGGTAAAATTTTTAACTCCCAATTTCTGAGGCATTGATAAAGCCTTTCAACATCTCAGTGAGAATGAACGCATGGTCCAGGAGCTCTCAAGTGGCGGAGGTTGAGTTTGATAGATCGGACTGAGGCTGACCCCTTGCCAGGGTCTTCTCCAGTCCTAAAATGTGCATTTGACTGGAAGAAAGAGAGGAGGCAAGATTTGCAGAAGCAGCTTTATTTTCAAGCTGTCAATGGGCTTGACGTGTTGGTGCCAAGAGGTCCCAGGATGGAGGAACAACTCAACCAACTGACTAATCTTTGAAGGAACTTGTCACCGAATTGGAAAATTTCCGTTAGTTTTAATCAACTCATTTCTGCAGCTTAAACTAATAACCAGCTCTAGCCCTTGATTGCTCCATCCTGAGGCTATTTCCTTGCATGATACTTGGGCCGTTTATGATCAATTGAGATGTGTGTATGTACTTAAGGTTGAAAACCTGCTGCTGTGTGTTTGCATAACTGCATGTCTGGTTTGTGCCTTTATTGTCTGTAGGGTCCGTTAGTTTATTTGTAGGAACACTGTGGGCTTCTGAAAAAGGTAATGTCGGCCACAGTGCTCTAAACTGAAAATAAAAACAACTTTAGCTGAGATTCGTTTATACTGAATAAATTAACTGACAAGCTCCTTGTCTTACTGAATCAATATAACAACACTGTTGTGCTAATTATGTAGGGAATAAGTGATAAGAAAGCTAATTACAAGCACAGAAATATCTCTCTCAGTTCAGACAATATCATAATGAATGCCAAGGCACAGCAGAGCCACTGGAGTTCAGCTTCTGTTAAGTTTATCATTACTATTTTGACAAGATGATTTTCTTTGATTTTAAACTTTTGTTCTGGGTTGTGAGCACCGCTCATGGGGCTGTAATGGCAATAACTATTCCTCATGGAAACCTCCAATTTAATTGAATCAAGAACCTTGAAAATGAGCCAGGACTTTTCTATAAGAAGTGAGGCAGCCTTTAAGGATTTGGTATGAGAAATAATATGCTATTAATATTTGTAGGTTTTTAGTTCAGTTCCTATAGAACTCTACATGGTTAATTTAAATTATATTTTATGAGTCTTTTCCATAAGGAATAAAACAGTGATTATTTGATCATGTTAGAAATACCAGCTTAAAATACTTGAATGCCATCTCCTATAAATTATTGAGCAGTTCTGAAAATGGGGAAAAATATATGAAAATTGATATTTTGATATTAGATTAATTCCACTGATGTCATTTCTAGAACTTTGTTCTTTTCAGATGATCATTATTGGTCTGGGACAGAAAACTAAATACTCAGCACAAACAAGAGTAGTGGACACTACTAGTCTTGCACCTAGAAGAGGTCCCTTTAGGAGAGATATGATGTGCAGAGGCAGAGCTGAGTGACTTGGGTTGCCATTGCCGTATTGATTGTATCACCACCCATCACTTCCCTATCCATCACAGATACTTACATAGCTGGTACCACCATAGCTTATTACTTTTCTGCATTCTTTCAGCTAATGTGTCCTCACAATGCCTCTGTGAAATACAGAAATATAACTACCGTCATTTTACAGGTTGGAAAATAAAGCGCAATAACCCAGCTAAGCCAAAAATACAAAGAGAAATCTGCTGCATTTTCCTTCCTGTCACGGATCTGAAGTTCACTATAAACTGACTCGAGAACCCTCCCTTTCCAGATCAAAAATTCTGTTTATTTTAAATAAAATAATTCCCAGCAGATACCTCCTTACAATAAAGCTAGTGAAAGATAAATGTTTTCCAGAAACACAGACTCATCTCTTTCTTTGTCACAAGAACTACTCGTCTTCATTCCCTGGGCATGGACCCATAAAGATAAGACTGTCATTCCAGAAATATTAGCACCTGTGGAAAGAAAAGCACCGCTGAGTTTTAGTAAACTGTCTACTGCAGAGGGAAGGGGGAGAAAAAAGCACAGTAAAATGTGCCAAGGGATGCCAGCCTGAGCCAGTCTCAACTGTCTTTATGCAAACCCATCTGGTTTCAAGGCATGTGTGTCCTGGAATGTGAAACACTTGTGTTGGATGGTAAACAGGGTACGGGCAACTGTTTGGGTAACTCTTGTCAGACTCGGTGTTCGTGTTCATTTTAGATAGTCAGTTACTGAGGTCCCCAAACATCGCCCTTTCGGCATGCCGGGTGGATCTGCGGTGGGCCCCCTGCTCGGAAAGCAGCTGTGCAGCCGCCGTGCTGACAGTGACGGCCGTGACGGACTTCGCTCAGGATGGGGACCGCGTCAGCCGCATCCGAGCTGAGCCAGTCGGACGGAGGGATTTGCTTTGGAGGGCTTACACACCCAAGGATGTGGAGGTCGGGTCCTAAAATAACGTGGAAAATGTGTCAAATTTAAATGGGAGATTTCATACTGCAGAAAACAATGATAAACCTTAACCATGTCAACATTTGGGGACTGCTGTCAGCAGAGTAAACCAAAACAGCCTCTTTATATGCCAAGAAAATTAACATGTAAAGCCTTTTGCTTTAACATATTTAGGTTTGATTATTAGTCAGCACATCAGAAACGTCAAATGCTAGATTATGGATGTAACGAGGCAAGCATGGGTATGCTGGAAGAGGAGAGAGGGAGAACCCAGGTGAGGGAATTAGCACCTTTTCAAGAAGGAGGGAGAGGGAAAACGGAAGGTTTGGAGAACAGTTTCTGAAAAAGCAGTGCCTCAGTAATGAGAAAGGGGGACCTGGACTCAGCAGCACTGTGTTCAATTTGTGACTGTGCCAGGAATCACCAGAACACCTCTGATGACACACGTGGCTGCTCCATCCCTTCATTTATCCCTGTACAAAACATCCAAAATAAAAATAATAAGAATCAATCAGGGAGGCAAGCCATTTTTTCCCTGTCTAGAAAGGAGTGTGGTGAGCAGGGACAAGCCCGCTATCTGTGAAGTTGTTTCAGGGCCTCAGCTGGGAGGTTTGAGACCTGTAATCCCACCGCCTGAGAGAATAAACCAGAACGCGGATTTGACTCAGCTAAATTTCTCAGAGCAGTGGCACGTCCAAGCTGGTATATTTTAAGTAACCGAAAACAACCCCCCAATGAAATCTATAAATTCACTGCCCTGATTTTTGTGGATTTGCTCATGAGAGAATGAGATTAAAATGGACCAAAAGAATTTTTGTCTTCAAAGGTAAAATGCCTGGCACGTGACTATATCTTTTCCTCTCCAGCATAGGCTTCTTTTAAACTTTAAGATTCTTACATCAGAAAGTGCAGCTAATTCCATGTAGTGCACTCACATACTCATATTTTGTCTTGAAGTTACAAATGCTTCTATTAAAATATGAAAATGTAGCAAGTGTGAAACAGAATTAATCAATTTTAATAATAAATTCTATCTATCTCAGTTAAAACTCGATCTATGGATACATGATAGACATTACCTTCCTTTCCCTTCATTTCCCCATTGCTGCTTTGCAGTTAATTAGAGGTGTTAATGTAAGACAGTTCCTGCAACATATCAAGGAAAAATCCATGTATTAAAATCCATATAATCTTTAGTCCTTCAGACTTGTTCAAATGTTTTTGATTTATCTGAAAATTGAATGGAAGTGGTGGGCAGAACATCCTGAGACATTCAGACACCCGATAAAGTGTTTTTCTGCAGTAAACTAAGACTGCCCAACAACTAGGAGTTGCACTCTTTGCTGGTGTCATGCAAGAAAAGAGCAGAGCCAAAAGGGCCAAGTGGATTTATCTGTGCAAAGGTTTTACTTAGGAAGGTTTGTGGCCATGGAGAAAACAGGAACATTCTGAGACACTTCTTTATATCACACTGTAAGTGCAAATGATACAATTGACCTCAGATCAGAACACTGTTCTGAGAAGTGCTCAGTTTTTCTGTCCTCAAGACCGCCGCTCTATAGTTTGGTATGTCAGACACCAGTGGGTGTCCAAGCAATGTCTCTGTGAGGTGGTTAAGGGACATTTTAAAACACAGATGATGTATTGCCGCAGGTGAAGAATTTTGTCAGGGAGTGTGGTTCTATCTTCACCCTTTTATTCATTTATTTAATTTCACCACTGCTCCTAAAAGCTAAGTTCTGCTTTGCTGCTAAAAGACCTCACAAAGATATAGCGGCCATTCTTCTTCCCTGCTCCACGGATCGTGGCAGAACTAACTAGATTGCACCTCTGGATTTCTCACGGGCAAAAAGTGAGCAAAAAATTAACAGCCCTGGCCGAGAAATCAGCCTGGCAGGTTGGACATGGGAAAACAACAATTCTTCATCACTCCCACCAGCATGACTGGGAGCTCTCCATGTTGCCAATCTTTGCACAACCCAGAGTTGCGTTTCTGAGAACTGGATAGCAGAGTATGAAAAACACCATTGTGAGCAGACGTGGCCCCAGGTACCTCTGGTTTTCTCAGGCATATCTGCTCCTTGCAGGGTAGCAGGACTCTCATACCTTGTCTGCAACCCAGCCTATACCCCCATAACCAAGAGATGACGCAGCTAAAGATCTCTGTTGCCTTAGTAGATCCTTTCCTCTTTTAATCACACGCCGAAAGCAGGCAGCTCCAGCAGCCCGATTTGGGCCCTCGTCGCCAGTACCCAATCAATAACCTGAACATCAAATGTAAAAATCAGCCATTCAGATGCTGTATCAGGAATTTTAAGGTCAAATTAGGGGACAGGCAGTGACTACTACTAAAATATGCTAATGCTGCTTAATTACAGCATACCTTATACCATACTTCAGGCATTAAAATTAGTACAATTTAATGAGCACTCTACTCTCCTGATAATTTCAGTGAATGATCTACTTCCTAGCCAAAAAGTTTAATAAAAAAAGCTTCACTTTTTACCAGGTAAAGGAAGACAGTGCATTACATCAGGTGGAATAGGAGCACTTTGAACTCCCTTATTGCATGTGATTAAACTCCGTTGTTTGAAAGCAAAGCCTATTTTGTACCCGTTCGCAATCATGTTTTAGAAGTCAGATTTTAGTTTGTACTTGACACATGAATCCTGCCCCTAATGTTTTGTGAGGAACAGTAATGAAGAAAAACTGCTGTGTAGACTGTATTCATTACACATTTCATTTTAACTAGGTCACAGTTCGAGACCTCCCAACAGGGAACTGCTACTCTTTCACTGATCCACATATTATCACATTTGATGGATGGTGAGTATTCTACTTTGAAATAATTTGGCTCAATTACTGCAGTTTTCAGTTTCTGGATGTAGGATGCATTTGGTTTTACATTAGAATATCAAAAGACCGTTGTACTAGTTTGCTTATAGTGATTAATGTAGTACTTCAATAACATATATGGTTTCCTTCCAGCTGTTTATGCTCCTTTTAACAAAAGGACTAGAAATGGATTGATCTTGAAGCGGCAATGGGTTTGAGTCTGAATAATTTTTACATGACAAAGGTCAGATTCTAAAATGTTCCTCAAACAGAACCATCACTATTGACTTTGAGAGGTAATCTACACCACGTGGCATCAGGTTAGCGACACCACAGTTCCACCCAAGTGAGCCATTATGTCCCTGCAGCAGCACAGCATGTGGGGACAGCCTATGTCCTTCCCAGCAGTTTAGTAACACCTGATGCAAAGTGACTCTGCCCAAGGATGCTCTTGCATTCTTCTGTCTGCTTCCAGAGCTGGTTTACGCACAGCTGCATTTCTGCATGGAGCTGACAGTCATCATCACACCCAAAAAGCCATAAAGATGGCCATACTGTCTCAGATAAAAGAAGTCCAGAAATGATAAGTGGCAAATATCAGGGAAAGA